TCCAGCTTGCAGGACTGGCCTAGGGTAATTTTTAGAGGGGTTTTAATTATATTTTAATTGGACAATGTTCAAATATTTCTTTTAATTAATTTTAAATTTGTAATTGTTATTTATGTATTTTAATTGATTGTCAGCCGCCCTGAGTCCGCGAGGAGAAGGGCGGGATATAAATCCAAATATAATAATAATAATAATAATAGAGTAGAACAGAATAGAACAGAACAGAATAGAACAGAATAGAACAGAATACAATAACTTTATTGTCACTTTAAATGTACACTAACTGGTATACATTAAAATGAAATTTTGTTGCATACAGCTCTCAAAGGGTCACCATCCCCAATATACACTACATAAATATGACCCCCCAAAAATTGCATATACCCACATATATTCTATGCCACAGAAAAACAACACAGTCTAGTTCAAATGTATACATATACATGGCGAGAAAAAAGAATCCTGCGCATTTACCAGATGGATGGCATATAGGGAACAAAGCTGTTACAGAATCTAGCAGTTTTGCTATAAATACTTCTAAACCTCCTCCCAGAGGGGAGCAACAGAAACAGGCCATGAAGTGGGTGTGGGGTCTCTAACAATGCTTTGAGCTCTAAGCACATATAAGTGCTTGTAAGCCACATCCTGGATAACGGGAAGCAAGCTTCCTATAATCTTCTCAGCTGTCCTTACCACTCCCTGTATGGACCTTCTATCTGAGGCTCTGCTACCACCGAACCAGACAGGGATGCAGTTTGTTAAAACATTTTCAATCGTGCTTCCGTTAAAAGTGGCCAGGACAGAAGAAAGAACAGAATGGAAGAAAGGATAAAAGAGAAGAAAGAGCCACTACCAAGACAACAGTTGGATGAAAAAAAATTCAGTCCAGGGCAGAAACGTAACCTGAGAAAGTGTCTCACACATGACCCCTTCTTGTTCATGAAGATAAACAGAGGGAGGGAGGAACATCTAAACCTGCAAAATCCTGTTACTATAACTTTACGTTAGGCCTCAAACCCAAGAATGACACGTGGTGATTCTTCTAAGTTGATGTTTCCAAAATCTATAGAGAGTATTGTGCCAAACTAAAGCACTCTAACTATCTACATCAAGCACCCACTATTAGGGAGTGTTTGTCTTCACCCTCTTTCTCTAACACATAATATCCAGGATGAGTTGCCGTTAATTCTTCCTGGGAATCCAGGCTACATGCTATCAGTGTTTTTATTTTGTGTCTGTCTATCTGTCTGCCTGCCTGCCTACCTATCTCATTTATATAAGTGCCTTTCATCACCCACTCTAGTTTTTAATCTTCCCCATAACAATAGGTCACACTAAGAACGAGGGCCTACAGTCAACAAGTCTTCTTGTTTAGACGATTCAGCAAGTCAGCTGATTGCCTTTTAAAAAGAGCCTAGACACCCTTTTCAACTGGACACTGTGGAAGTGGAGAAAACAAAAATGTCTCACAATGCCCTTCCTCACGGGAAGATAAGCAAATTCACAGCTTGCAATTCTTTTCTGCATCCTTCTCTTTGAAACCAGGCCAAACAAAAAGCAGTTCACGAGTTTTCCTTTCTTCTCCCAAGGAATTTCTAAACGATGCCCTTTCCCCCATCTAGGTCTCCCTCAGCTTTGATGGTGGTTTGCCAAGACTGACCTTCATCTGCTACATTTACCTGTGATTTTCGTATCCGGACATCTGCTGAGGTTCGGTTAATGTTCTCCTCTCGAGCTAAATTTTGTTCCATGGCTGTGAAACGGACAAAACCATTTCAGAGATGATAGTCATTACCATTCATACATACATACATACATATATACATACATACATATAAAATATGAGCCAGCCGTGTGCATAGCAGCCAAAAAAGCTAACACAATCCTGGGTTGTATAAACAGAGGCATAGCATCAAGATCACACAAAGTATCAGTACCACTTTATAAAACTCTAGTAAGGCCACACCTGGAATACTACAGCCAATTTTGGTCACCATATCACAAAAAAGATGTTGAGAGTTTGGAAAAAATTCAGAGAAGAGCAACTACGATGATCAAAGGCCTGGAGACTAAAACATACGAAGAACGGCTGCGGGACTTGGGTTTGGCTAGTCTAAAGAAAAGAAGAAATAGGGGAGACAGGATAGCAGTGTTCCAGTATTTGAGGGGCTGCCACAAGGCAGAGGGGGCCAGGTTGTTCACCAAAGCACCAGAGGGAAGGACGAGAAACAATGGTTGGAAGCTGACCAAAGAGAGAAGCAACCTGGAATTAAGGAGAAACTTCCTGACAGTGAGGACAATTAACCAGTGGAACAGCTTGCCTCCAGAAATTGTGGGCACTCCATCACTGGAGATTTTCAAAAAGAGGCTGTATAGTCACTTGTCTGAGACTGTATAGGTTCTCCTGGTTGAGCAGGGGGATGGACTAGAAGACCTCCAAGGTCCCTTCTATTCTATTCTATTCTATTCTATTCTATTCTATTCTATAATATTCTATTCTATTCTCCCATCTTAAAGTTGCCAAGGTTGAGAAACACTGCATTAGATTAAATATAAAAGCAAATACATTTTAGGGGTCAGAGCCTAAATAACTTGCCTGGGCTTAGAAGATAAGTAGGGTTGGTCCTGGTTAATAATGGGATGGGAAAGTGCTGGCCAATAGCATAGCTAGACTATCAATTTTTTTTAAAAATCCAGAATATAACAACTATGGCTGTCAACAAGAAGGATGTCTATATGAAGTCACCAGGAACCCAGACATACTTGAAAATTTATATTTTGATAAATGGTGAACTTATCCTCCAAATTAGTCGCTCAATTACACACAAATTAACTGATAGTCTCGCATTAATAAGGACGATTAAGATTTTTCCAACTTTCACGCGGTACAAATGCATACAATGCGCTCCACGGAATAATCTATACACAACTGTAGCAAAGATCTTTTTTTTCTGGCACCTTCATAAAAATTTCTATACAGTGTATGTTTCACTGCTTCGGAGTTTTTAATTTTACTCACAGTTAGGGTATACTTACACTTCAACTTAGCACGGACTATATTTGCTGTCTTTCTGATTTCTTTGTTCAGTTCTTCGAGTTCTTCCTTGGTTTCTTTAATAAAAGGAGAAATGGGAACTCAGCGCGATAGGTAATGCTCCCCAAACAAACATTACACATGTGGATGTCCATCTCTTACCGAAGATGCAATGATGTTCTCATACAGGATCCTGGAATTGGGGAATCTCTGAACTAGGATGGTCAACATCAGGAGTCAAGAGTCTACACAAGAATCTGGTCAACGTTAAATTGATGCTAGGTAAGTCAATGGAATTCAAGAGGTGTTAGACCATTTGTGGGAACGTATCAACTCTAGGCTGATGGCTCTCTTGACTCCTCCCCCAGACTCTGTCTGTCCTTCCCCTATACGTGTCACCCAAGCTGTCAGCAGGCTGCTTTTCATGGGTGAAGAACAAACGATGACCCTTTTCATGAGTGAAGAACAAATGATGACCCTGTAAAAGGCACCCAGATCTTGTTCCATGTCTCACATTCAGTTCTGATCTCATTTTCCTTCTGCTGTTGAAAGACAAAGATTCCGAAGTTCTAAAGTTGCGCCCCGGTCCACAAATTAACTTTGGACGCTGCCTCTGTAAACCGCTTGAACTCCTACAGGGATTTCATAATAGTCTTCTGGAGCTCTCGACACCAAAACGACAAATCAGAGAAAGGATCTCCACCCACCAGCTCTTACAACTCACAAAAAACCTGTTTCCTTTTTCCTGTCCAAAATAATTCAGCTCTATCTCCCAGCACTCTTCAGCTAGAGTTCCCGAGAAGCATCCTCTATACTCCAGCCACCGATCAGCTGACCAAAAGCAAGAATTTACAGGCAAGGCTCTCTCTTAAGTATCACATATCTTGAAGCAGCACTGCAATTTTTTTTTTGTTATTCTTTGATTAATATTAGAGAGCCAATTCGGTCAAGTGGTTAAGGCAGGGTTAGGCAACCTTGGCTCTTTGATGACTCGTGGACTTCAACTCCCAGAATTCCTGACCCAGCATGGGGGAACTATGGCCCCCTCATGACTTCTGGACTTCAACTCCCAGAATTCCTGAGCCAGCATGGCTCAGCTTGGAAACCTCTCCCTTTCCCCTCAGCGTGGCTGGCTCAGGAATTCTGGGAGTTGAAGTCCACGAGTCATAAAAGAACCAAGGTTGCCTACCCCTGGTCTAGGAGGCTCACCGCTTAGAACAGGAGGACTTAGGACAGGGATAGGCAACCTTGGTTCTTTGATGACTCGTGGACTTCAACTCCCAGAATTCCTGAGCCAGCCACGCTGAGGGGAAAGGGAGAGGTTTCCAAGCTGAGCCATGCTGGCTCAGGAATTCTGGGAGTTGAAGTCCAGAAGCCATGAAGGGGTCAAAGTTTCCCCCATGCTGGCTTAGGAATTCTGGGAGTTGAAGTCCACCAGTCATAAAAGAGCCAAGGTTGCCTACCCCTGGGTTAAGGCAACCAGGCTAGAAAACAGGAAACCATGAGTTCTAGTCTTGCCTTAGGCACAGAAGCCAACTGGGTGATTTTGGACCAATCACCAGGAGACTGTGAGTTCTAGTCCCATCTTAGGCACGAAAGCTGGGTGGATGGCTTTGGGCCAATCACCAAGGATGTTGTGAGTTCTAGTCCTGCCTTAGGCACAAAAGAAAGCTGGGTGACCTTGGGCCAGTCCCTCTCTCTCAGCTGAACCCAGGGTTGTTGTTAAGGGGAAAATAAGAGAAGGAAGGCATATTGGATATGTTCACCACCTTGAGTTATTTGTAAAAAATAATAAAGGGGGGGTAATACAAATAAATAGATAAATAAAATATTCCCAATATTGTAAATCCCTCTGGTGAGCCAGTAATGAATCCAGCAGCACAAATTCCCAGTGTTTTGACTTTCCCCTCTGTTCTTAGGGTGAATATATAAAGAGGAAACATTTGAACTTGTGATCCCTACGCACTCCTTCAAAATTTTGAAGTGCTTTATCTGTGGTAATTACGATTTCAATTTACTATGCAGGAGGACGACAGCAATGCTCTTACACTTAAAAAACCCACAAACATCCATTTTAACGTTGAAACTGGGGTGTGTTTTTTTAAAATAATAATAATAAAACTATGCTTGTCCCTTCATAACCCTCGGTCAAACAGCCGTACCAGGCACGGCTGGCGTAGCTCTGGAGACCTCTGTATACTGCATTTAGCTCATTCTATACATGAGTCTAAGAGCAGAGCGCTAAAATTAGCCCACAATTACGAGTGCTAGAGAAAAGAAGTGGATTTTTAAAGGCTCAGGCTAATGGGATGCAGTCTTGGTATACCGCCTTTTCATTCCTCCCAATGTGAGGAAGAATATTTTGTTGGAAGTAAGATTTAGGGATTTTAATGGAACATTAAAAGCTGAACACTTTTCACATGCGCGCTGTCTCCGACGTATTCTCGGCATCACCTGGCATGACAAAGTCCCAAATAGCACAGTCCTGGAATGTGCTGGAATCTCTAGCATGTATACACTACTGAAGCAGCGACGTCTACGCTGGCTTGGGCACGTCGTGAGAATGGCTGACAGTCGGATTCCGAAAGATCTCCTGTATGGAGCACTAGTGCAGGGAAAGCGCCCCAGAGGGAGACCTGAGCTGCGATGTAAGGATACCTGCAAGAGGGACCTAAAGGCCTTGGAAATGGACATTAACAGCTGGGAATCCTTGACCTCTGATCGTTCAGCCTGGAGGCTAAAGACGCACCATGGCCTCCTCCAATTTGAAGAGACACTTGTGCGGCAGGCTGAGGCAAAGAGGCAGTCCCAGAACCAGCGAAATCTGGGGGCTGGACAGGGGACAGATTGTATCTGCCCCCAGTGTGGAAGGGACTGTCATTCTGGAATTGGCCTTTTCAGCCACACCAGATGCTGCCTTAGGATCTCTTTCCAGAGCACGATACCATAGTCTCTCCAGACTGAAGGATGCCAATGATGAATGGAACATTATTCTTCCATTCCATACTTGAGTGGAATAGCGTAGATGTCAAGTCTGCTAACATTGGATATTATTGCTTGACATATGTGAAGAAGCAAACATATCTTATTTAA